TGTATGTGTATGTGTATGTGTGTGCGGGTGCGACCAAACTGGCAACTCAACCAGCGAAACTGGTGACCTCGTATCAGAACTCCGATTGCATTTGCAGATTCTGTCCTCAAAAAAACTGGCTTCAACGACTGCTGATAAACCCCATGCAGACTGCAGGCAGACAAAGACAAAGAAGGAAGAAGCCCCAAGGCCCAAGGCCTTGTTTCCTCATGAAAACTGAGACTGCGGCCGCCATGAGGTCTGAGCTGGCATAGAAGGTCTGTAAGGTCATCGCTGGCCCGGCTTCGCAAAACGAGTCACCACACGCAAATGCAGAGGCCATGGCAAACACGGCCAGAATTGCTTTCCAATCCGGTGTGGCCGCTTTTTGCCAGGTTGTACTCCCCGGGATCAGGTGGAAGTTCTGTGGCACCGTCCAGAGCTGCTTCATGAGCAAAAAGCTGGCCACGAATACTGTAGCGAGTATGAAGACCGTGCGGCGCGAGAGCCACTTACGAGTTATAAGGAAACCCCAAGCTGCCGAGGAAAGAGCATTCACACCAAAGAATGCAGCAATCACGAATCCGGTGTAAGCAGGCCCGGCAACTGGGCAAGTGACGTCAGTCTGAAAGTCGCCCAGGAAGAAGGCTAAACACATCCCGTTCGTTATCATGAACGGGATCATTAAACTAATCTTAGCATCCGTGAATGCAAGTCGACCCGTATCAGCAATTCTGGGTAGCTTCTCCTCATCACCCAAATCGTGCACCACAGTCGGCATTGCCAGGAAAACTGAGGCACCCATCAGGCAACAGAGAGTCAAAGCAAAGAACAAGATATCCTTTGCCATGGGGATGGTGCCAAATGCCACCAAGATGACAGAAGCCAGGATATTCCCGAACATGCCAGCAAATTGGTAAATAGAGAAGAACAAACTATTGTAGCCTCAGAGTGGGGTCACCGGCAACACACAGGCTGCGTTATCGAAGTGTCGGGCCGGCTGAGGTCCAACTAGACAACAAACAGCAGGTTGCACTGGCAGCCCAAGCGCGCGTAGTCACTATGCCAGCAGCTTCTTGCGAAAGTGCTGCTGCGTGAAGGGCACAGCGGCTAAGATAGGTGTTTTGGCTTGTCCAAAGCAGCGGAGCAGCAACTCCAACCAACACGTTGAAGGAAACGGTGACCTGGGATGCGGGCAACCCTCAAGGTCTTCAGGCTCAACCTACAGATTTGGTTCAAATCTCGCCTGTCAGTCTCTTCGCCCGCCTCCATTACAACATCTAGGTACATCTAGCACGATTCAAACTTGTCGATGCTGGCTTGAACCTGCAAGATGAGTACGGGAAGATCCGAGGAATTGCTCTTCAGTGCGTGGGCTTCAACAGCTCTATTGGTTGATGCTTCATGAAGCCCTGCATCTCCAAAACGACTTTGCAGCGGGGCCGAGGTTTGCGATGCTCGCCTTGTTTACATGACCTACGCGGGAGAAGAGTTGTGGAGCCCAGGTTGTCAGGGCAAATCTATGAATCTAAGCTGCTGTAATAACTCGAAGCACTCTTTCGGGATATCGCAAACGTTTGTCTTTTCCAATCGTCCTGCTGGGGAACCTAGAACCCAATTCATTCATATGCAACGGATGTTCTAAGCATGACGAATTATGTCCCAACGGCTGCTACGATGCGCGCGGGCTAAATTCCTTGCTATTGAATTTCTGCAACCGCCGGACATAACAATGCAATAGGCAATGGTGTGGCACAAGCTAGCTACTGCTTTAAACTATGCAGAGACATGCCGAAGTCCACCCTGACACTGACTTGCACAGGAAAATGACATATGTGCAGCAAAGGCCTGAAACATGATTTCATCGTTTTGGTAGCTGGATATGTAACCTGTAAACCCTGGCAGGCAGTAAACCCTCGAGTCAAAATTTCAGTTCAGTGGGAGCAGCAAATACTAAACTGTGAAAGAAGAGTGAAGTGTGTTGAAGTTTCGAATGATGTGAAGAACACCCATCTCCAAACGAATCGACAACCCAAAAGAAGTTATGAATGGGGAGCAGGAGTCCTGATCGCAAACCTGAGTCTTCTGAATGGTATTTCTCTTATTCTCTCTTCCATTGTGGTCATGGTAGAGTTCAAATGGGTCCTGCCCGCGGAGATAGAATACCACGCAGTGCTCTCATTCTATCTTGCATGCACCCGCATATCCAGGGCGGCTAGTCGCTGCCCACATTGGTGAGGGTGCTGCAGGTACTTTGATGACATTGGAGAGCGCCTTGGCATATGCGAGACGCCACGGATCGTGGACCAGCGCAGAACTTAGGCTGGCACCATGGCCGCATAGACTGCAGAGCAAAGTGCCAGCAGCCACTGCATGCCAAGCCATCTCTCCAAATGCGAGAGAACCGGTGGCACCACCAGACATAAGACTGTGAAAGTTCCGTACCTGAGACCGTATCGGCACGCTCTTGCACAAGTCCAGCCCCATCGCAGTACACGGAACAAACCATGTAATGCATCCAAGAAACAGGCAAGCTAAGTTCAACTCCCCTAGCTCAGCATTCAGGGAGGACTGCAAGCCTTGCGCCGCCTGAAACCCTCCAAATACTCCGAAGAATCCAAAGCTCAGCAGCCTTGGATGCAGGCAGCCTAGCAAGGAACCGTCCTAGCGGTCCTAGCGTTCAGGGGAAAGGAAATATTTATACTTGTGGCATCAATCTGAGAAGGCACTTCACCGCGCGGCGGTAGAAGGTTTCATCGCGGGCAGTCATTGATTCCTACCCAGGCCATCTCAGGCCTGTGACACTCTCGAGCCGTTCAGCTGCCCTGGGCACGCCCTCAAAAGCCAATCTCGACGGGGCATACCACAGCCCGTCTGACCTGGCCTGATTCCAAGCTTTCCTCCTGAAGCAACAGACTTAAGCAGATGTCCCTCAGTTGGGATTTGTTGGGATGCTGCTCATGGATGCTCTGCTCTGATCCGATCTGATCCGTTTTCCTGCCGCTCCTGCACAGCATGCGGCCGATCTGACCTCGGCTGCAGAGGCACGGCCCGGTTCTAGGATTTCAAAGGATTTCATAAGCCTGAGAACACGACTCTGCAGGCACCTCGGCCGGGAAGCCTTCGCAACCCATTGACTACCCCACGCATTGTTCAGTTTGTCCAAGACTTCGAGGAAGCGGCTCGGAGGAGTCAATGGAGCTGTGGTGGAAGGTCTCGTCGCAGAGTTCTCTGCGAGAGCCTGACTGGACTGTATGCGAACTCGCAAGCAGCGGTCGGCAGCGAGCCTGCAAGCCGTGCAAGCCACTGAAGCTGCTGCCATCGGCATGGGACCTCCGTTGCCCGCTGCAAATAATATCAAGCTGAGCTCAACAAACGTTCAGTGACCGAGATATTCGTTGCATTTCGTTGTTCCGCAAACGCACCTTGATGATCCGTTTGGACCTTAGCAGCACTGGATACTCCGCTATTCCAGCAGCCACTGCAAAGAGCGCCGTGCAACTACTTGGGCCTTCACGCTGTCCGTCACGATGTCCCACCTCGCTCGCAGCAGCCTGAAAGCCAGCTCTGGGTCTCTGTCCGAGTGCCAAATCAGCGGTCCAAGCTGGATAGGGAACGAGGGCGACTCGGTAAATGCTGTGCCAAAGCCTTCTGGAACGGCTGCTCCGGCGCAGCACTTGGTATCTTGGCATCCTCATCACTGAGAGGTAGCAACAAGCATCGACCGCACAGGAAGTCTTGGACCGAGGCCATGTGTGAAGCAACAAGTGGCGGCTGCAGGGGCGGCTGGGTGGGCCTAGATTGCCCGGGACGCAAGCTGTTTTTTGTGTTTTCTGTTTTTTTCCGGCGTGGTTACATTTGACCCTGGAGCAGCATGCACATTAACTCCAACTTGGAAATGCGACTGGGGCACGGCTGCGCTAGCAGTTCTGCAGGTGCTGCTGTTGCCGTTGCTGCTGTTACTGCTGTTGCTGCTACTGGCTGCGCTGGTGGTTGTGTCGGTGGATGCTGTTGTGGAGCGTGTGCAGGCGGCTGTGCCGGTGGCTGCGCCGGTGGGTGCGCTGGTGGCTGTGATGGTGGTGGTGCAACGTGGGAGACTGGCGGTGCTTGCTGTGGAGGTGGCTGGGAGGGCGGCTGCACAGGTATCTGGGAAGTTTCAGAAGCTGCATGTGGAGATGCCTTGCTAGGTGGATGTGCAGGGGGCTGGGAAGGTGGCTGCAGTGGCGGTAGAGTTGCTGGAGTCATCACAGGTACAGGCGGTGGGGTTGCTGGAATGGTCGGAGCCATTGCTGTCGGGGCGGTTGGCCTCATGGCTGGTGGCATGGATGGTGGCATTGCCGGGGGCTGTACAGGCGGGTTGGCCGGCGGATGCAGGTTCGCTTGTGGTTCTTTTGTTTCCTGTGCAGGTGCCTTTGCCGTTGGTGGCTGTGCAGGTGGCTGTGCTGGTGCCTGCGCCCGAGGCTGTGTTGGGGGCTGTGCAGGTGGCTGTGCCGGTGGCTGCGCTGGTGGCTGTGCCGGCGGCTGTGACGGAGGTTGCGATGGTGGCATGGACCTCACGAAAGCAAAGTCCATCGGCATTCTCCCGAAAAGTCGGAACGGACAGTACGCGAGTGAGAGAAAGAGAGTCCATGTCAAAAGTCACAGTCTTGGCTGTCAGCGGTGGTGATGGCAATTCGGCGCTCGATCTGTATGCCTAGTGTCAGCCGGCTGCAGCTACTCTAGATGCAAAACATTGGAAGCTGACAATCTAGGATTCATGGAACTGAACACTGTGGCGTTGGGACTCAGGATGTTTGTATTGGCAGATGCACAGTTGAAATCTTGCTTCATGTTCTGCACAAAGAGTGCTCCAACTGCAAGAAGCCCGGGTGGAGCAACCTTACGAGGCTGATGTTCGTACATCAGCCGTTTTGAGATCCCCCCCCCCCCGTTGATGGGATTTTGGCCCCGGTGGACAACAGCAGGTACTTTTTTGACTGACAACGACCCTCCAAGCACCAGAATGTCCATAATTCTTGTACTGCTTTTTCGCAGTAGCCCCAAACATCTCACAGGACGACGCAAGCAAATTGGCTCACATGTTATGCCATTCGATATTGTCAGGACCCTTGTTGGTAGACAACGATGTCTGCACCGATTCTGTGTCGGAAGATGTGGATGAGAGTGATCCTGGTCTTGCATGAATGAAAAGTCAAGCCGGGACACCAGGGGCAAAAGTGAATCCAACAGACAGGTGATGAGATTGGATCTGCGAGATACTTCTGAAAACTAGGCTCGAAGGGGGGATCTCCAAACTCAAAGCAGACGGCAAGACGAGGAAACATGATCACGCCGAGACAAGCTCAATGACGCCACTGCCCGCACGCCTCACAAGAGCCGGGCCCCGGCGCCCCGGCCTTGTCGGCCTCTGGTCCAGAGGCGTCCTGAACTTCTGCCATTATTTTTCTTGCTCCCGTAACCGACGCATCACAGAGTTGCCTGTGCCGAGGAACTCGCTTCCTCATTCGCGGGCCTGCAAAGAACTTCGCTGAGAGAACGTCGACCGCAACGGACTGTCCGGGCCTCGTCGACAACGACTCCTCGGTTACCGTGCGAGTGATGGATGATCGGCTGAAGCCTGCAATGCTTGCGGAGGCCTGCTTATCTTCTTGGACTGCGCCTCGCAAGGTCAAGACAACTGTTTCCATGATTCATCTCTTCTCTGTGCTTTCATCTAGAATTCTGCAGCCTCGCGGAAGCTGAATGTGCTGCAATTCCACTTTGAACTGCGGCATACCCTGTCAACCCCTCCTCCCGACAAGAGCACCCAAAGACTTCGCTAAACGACAGAAATAGCAGATTATGCCATGGCATGGTCTTGCATGATCTGTCCCCACCTGCTGATGCTCTGTGCTATTAGGCTGCTCTATTTACTGCTTTGTGTGTAAGATATGGCATTCTGCGTACATCTTTTTGTCCACGTGACATTGATGTACGTGCGAATGTATGTACAGACGTGTGGGTGTATGTATGCATACGCAAATACATATACATATAGGTATTTGGATATATATATATACATATACATATATGTATTCATTAACTAATTAATATCCATATGTATAAACATCTTTATGTACACACACATATATACATATGTGTATATATATACATATGTATATGTATATGTATGCACGTATGCATGTATGTATGTATGTATGTATGTATGCACCCCGTTATTCACCCCGTTTACCAACACCGACTCCAAAGCTTGATTCATTTCTGAAATCCTCGTTTTCCCATCAAGAGCGTCATCAGAACCATGATCATCATCATCACAGACAGAATCCAGCCAGACAGACAGACAGACCGTTGGGCGGGCGGCCGGGCGAGCGGGCGGACCGGCGGACCATGGGAGACGGACAAGCAAACAGAACAACCGACAAGCAGACAGAGCGAGCCATGCAGAGCAACAAGGGTGGCGATTTAGAGGAGGGGACATGACCATAAGTGAATGCACATAGGTTTGGGTGCTCAATGAACATTTCTTTGTTCACACATAAACTCGCATGTCGTCCAATGTAACCATTCATTGTTTACAGCATAACAGTCTAAATCTAAGAGCATTCACGAACTTGTCACTGCTGGGAGGTCAAGAACACCGGAAGGCAACACGCCCAAAAGTAGAGAAGCAAAAGACAAGCCAAACGGCTAAGGAGCCTGAGAAGCCGTTCCTGGACCGTACGACTTCAAAAGCAACAGAAAACAGAAAATGATACTGTAAAATCTCCAAAGACCTAGCCACTCCTCAGGATGTAAACATCGTACTTCATTTCCATCCATTCAGGCACCTTCAGCTTCTGGAGCTGCTGGGTCCACCTGTCTTGCATGGCACTGGCTGGGAAGTGTCGGCGCATGCGCAGCCTCAGGCTCTTCGTCATAATTGCCGTAGTTGCCCGCATCCGCTCCTGTACAGCTCCAACAGCTTCCAGCCGACTACACTGCTTCGCGGGTTGACGCCTCCCCAGTCGTGCTGGTACCAGCCGTTCCACCACTCCTTCGATGCTTTGCCCCTGCCCTGAGCATACACAGAATGCATCTGTCCCAAGACTCCAACAATTCCCCAGCCTTGAAGTCCTTGCCATGCTTGCCACCTTCCTTTCCCCAATCCTTCCACCGACCCTTTCCTCCATCTTTTCGGCCCTGGCGAGTCCACATGCGAATGCCTTGGCGCAATGGGCCGCCCGGCCTTGTCTTCCCTCCAGTCTCTGTAGTAGTGTCCTGGCTTTTCGTCGCATGCCCCCAGCTAGGATCTGGGCATTCCCGGCCACATGCACCAGCTCTACAGAATGATAATTGTTATTTCATGTTGACAATGCAGCGGCTCCGACCCGCCTTTGTAGTCCTTTCCCTTGCTGTCCTTGCCCTTCCCATCCTGCAAAACAAACTCACTGCACCCTGTGTAGCGACTTGCTGTCAGAGGACAGTCCTCCGCCCATTCCGCTTTGTGGTAGCTTTCCTTGCCGTTCCACGACGAGTACCCTGCCGTCCGGCTGCACATCCAAGCATTCCAGTCTGCAATTTGTCGCCGAGGCTGTGACACTTTGCGTCCTTCCCACCTTTCCCATCTCGGCCATCTTTGCCTCCCTTGGCGCCCAGAACACGAGAGTGCCACAGAGAATTCTCCAGCATGCCAGATGCAAGCTGCCTGCCTTCCAGTTGCCCTTCTCGTTCGATTCATCCGCGAGCTTATGCAAGAAGTTGCAGTCCTCACCAGCTGGCCGCTGGCTGATCCAAGCACTGGCAATATTGAAGTACAGGCGTCAAATGGGTTTGTGATATGCCGACACCTTGCGCTCGCACTTCTCACCCTCGAGAAACTTGCGGCAGTACCTGATCGGAAGCTCCAGTGCTTGAGAAGTGAATCCTTCACTTGTCGGGCACTTGGTGGTGCCGAAGTTTGCCCGAAGCGTGTGCCCATCGACGGCAAATCCATCTACAGCCTGAATAACTTGGCAGATGCAGCACACGCCTCAGGAGATGGATGCAGGACTCCACCCCCGGGCCTGTATTGCGACAGATGCCTCCTCTGGTTTCTCGAATGTCAGGTACCTGCAGATTAACCACGCATACTGCCTATGTTAACGGGATTGCTGGCATGTGTTTGAACTGTTTTTGGGTTGCAAGACAAGCTCTATTGCTTGTAATAAGAAAAGCTTGAACAACTTGTACTTTTAGAAATGTTACATGTTCTCTATATTTTAATGGGAAAATAATGCCTGTCTTGATGGTACGATGTTGCTTGCAGCAAGCCTGCATGCACGGCACGAGAAAAACACGTGGGTTTCTACGATATGACATCTCGTCTAAACAGCTCAGGTTAGCAAACAATCGATTCAACTTGCAGACACAATGTCGTTCGGAAAATGTTTTTGAACGCAAGACTGCACAGTTTAAGAAGGAGTTGGGGGGTTTGAGGCCATCGCTTGCAAACACAATGTCTGGTAGTAGTAGTCGTAGCAGTAGCAGTAGTAGTAGTAGTAGTAGTAGTAGTACTACTACTACTACTACTACCACCAGTATTGTTGCTGTTGTGATCCGTGTTAATACGTAATGTTGTTGAGAATGCGGCTAATGCTAGTAACATACGTTCGGGAGCACGGACCAATCATACAGGCATTCTTTTGCCAACGGGGCGGTTCCCCCCCAACCCGCCGCTTTCTTGTTAAGCCGTGCAAGCTGTTTTACGCCGCAGAAGCCCGCTTCAAAACACATCTTGCCAACAAAAACAGAACCCAGACCACTAATAATAATAATAGCAGTCGAATAGTAATGATAGCAATGGGTAAGAGTGTTTATTTTTTTCTGACGTTGTTTTTTTGCTGTGGTTGCGGGGGCGCG